AGAACTCTGTAGGATTACGACAGATAAACGTTGCAGAAGAAGTTCGTTGATTATCTGGAAAGTGATTTATTGGGGTTAACTGATATGTTGATTACAAAAACCGTGATTTTTTTTTTTGCAGTACTTATCGTAATCCTAGTGAGGCCTTATCGTAGAAAATGGACATGTTTCTCACAGTCAGCCTATCGCGAGCCTACATCAAGTCATAGCCACTTTCAACCTTCTTGCATATCAAAAATCAGCCCTGTATGCTTTCGATAACAGTCACTTTTATTCAACACAGCCCGAATCGTTGGAGCTAGATACACTTTACTGTAGAGAGAGGGAGTTTTCTTCCAAATGATTTATGATATTGTCATTCTGATTTCTCAGGCAACTTTTGATTTCAAGAAAAAAACCGCACGAACTCATTCGACAACTTAATGTAATGGTAGTTGGATTTTACGTTATGCTACAGCTGCTCATCACAAGCACTAGACACTCTATCAAGTGCGTTCCTGGGTCTTAATTGCTACAGTCATATTCTGCGCACATCTACCCTCCTTGTATTGTGCTGCATGCGTAAAGCGTTCTGTTGGATTATAAGTTGAATTGAAATAGATTTCATGAGCTTTTCAAAATGTTCACAGCTTATTTTTGAGACTAATGCTTTATTCCAGGAGCAATTAATCCAGCTAAAGGGTGAAGCGGAAAGAGCATCTACAGCATCAGCTGAGATTCAGGCAAAATTGCTGGTTGCGGAAGAAAAACTTCGAGATGTTGAAAAGACTCGACAGCAAGAGAAATTGGAGGATGAAAGGATAAGGTGAGTTGCCTTGTTCCAATATCTGACGAGAACGGTTTTATCTGAATATACTTATAAGCGAAGTTTTTTGCTGAATCGGTTTTAAATCTTATATGTGGTCTGCTACGTATATGGTGCGGGTCACTGAGGATACATATTAAGCGTGTAACCGCGCGCAGGTGGTAGCGTGCGCTTGAATTAGTGATGTTATGCTGTTAAATACTGATTTTAACTACACATACATGCTGCTCAGTAGATGCTCTAACAAACTTGCCCATTACCCTCCTACCTATGGCCGCTTGTTTAATGCCCCACACACTTGTCTGCCGCTTTATGTGAGATTTAGTAC